TGATTTGTCTCGGGGGAAGGATTGATGCCAACCAAATGAATGCATGAATACCAGCCTCCCAAGGGATCGCTGGACAAATCAGATCACCACTCCTTTAACTTATTATGGGGATGGATGCAGTGGAAATACAACATCACTGGCTGATTACTTGTATACTACCGTGTTTCCCCGAAAATAAGACATCCTCCGAAAATAAGACCTCGCACATGGAAAGATAAGACATCCCCTGACAATAAGACCTAGTGAAACTTTGGGAGAAAAAATTAATATAAGACACTGTCTTATTTGGGGGGAAACAGGGTAGTTCAAGAGTCACATCTCCTCAATAGCAACACACTAAATTCGCTTAGAGTCGTTCAGGAGCCTGTCATTGGAGTGCAGGAAGATAAATGGTTGTCATGCTACGGAAATATCAAATGCGCCATTCATTCCCACAGAGGAGTAATCCCACCAGTATGATAAAATCCTTTTATCTCCTGTTGGTCTGCGCTGGGTGAACACTGCAAGTCCTTCCTCTTCACCTTTTTTAAATGCCTCCTGCAGACTAACGTTTTATTCCATCAGCAGTCCGGGCAGTCATGTTACAGTGAGATGGACTAGATTATGGATTTTACAGACCACTCCTGAGGATACTTTTCTTTAACTTGATTGAGCTTTGATATTTCCCAAGGCTCTATCTATGTGCTTCACATAGTACCTCTTCCAGCAGCTGCCTGCTATAGATGGGAAACCTCCACGGTTCTTAAATCTGAGCGCAGGGATCACTGGGGAAATTTGTTGAAAGTGCAGATTTTCAAGTTTGACCCCCACAGATTCTGACTACGGAGATCTGGGGATGGGCTTCTTCGTTCTTACCCACAGTCAGGGGAACACCCTGTATGTGTGAGTTCTTAGTAGTTTCATTTCCAAGGGCCACTCTATTGCTAAAGTCTACGGTCCTCTAAGAACTAAATAAAACAGAAGTTTGGTTTTAAAGCCGTGGAAAATTTAAGTATCCATCGCCAATGTTTAAAATAGTCCAGATTCTCACAATTAACCCTTGCTTTTATTTTCTTTGTCAAAACGCTCTGGGGAAGCAGTGGTCATGTTGGTCGCGCAGAAAGCAAGTTCTCCTTATTCTAGGATGTCGTGAATATCCACTTCTCCTTCTCCACTGCTCTGGCTTAAGACTTCCTCATCTCTCATCTGGACAGCCACAGATTTCTTCAGACTCTCACCCCAACCCCCTTCTCCCAGGGTGCAAATTGCTGGTGGAGCTGCTGGAAGCTATTGTAGGATTTGAGGAAGAGGAAATACCGTGGTCACAAGCATCTCAGAGAATTCATTGTGACAGGATGGGAGATGGATTAGATGGGAACATCGAACTTTTCAGGGAGCGTGTGTAGTTAAAAAAGAAGAAAAAGCTAGTATGAGAAAGAAATAGTAAGTTTGGAAAGTGGGGGACATTTTCTAATTTTTTGTAACATAGAATATAATGCTTTTTAAAAAAAATATATAGTTTATTGATTTTTTTTTTTTTACAGAGAGGAAGAGAGAGGGATAGAGAATTAGAAACATTGATGAGAGAGAATCATCAATCAGCTGCCTCTTGCACACCCCCTGCTGGGGATGTGCCCGCAACCAAGGTACATGCCCTTGACCAAAATCGAACCTGGGACCTTTCAGTCCTTAGGCGATGCTCTATCTGCTGAGCCAAACCGGTTTTGGCATAATGCTTTTATTACATTTTTGGGGGACCTGGTCTCATCGTCACAGCGTGTGTTGTGTTCCAGCCTTTCCTTGCATCACATGCCTTTGCACATGCTGTTTCCTCTCCCGGATGCTGCCTCACTTTTAGCAGTTATGGAGTGCCTTTTTTTTTTTTTTTTTTACAGAGAGGAAGGGAGAGGGATAGAGAGTTAGAAACATCCATGAGAGAGAAACATCGACCAGCTGCCTCCTGCACACCCCCCACTGGGGATGTTTCCGCAACCAAGGTACATGCCCTTGACCGGAATCGAACCCGGGACCCTTCAGTCCGCAGGCCAACGCTCTATCCACTGAGCCAAACCGGTTTCGGCTATGGAGTGCCTTTTACGTGCTCTTATTAGAACGTGAAGATACAGTGATGAATAGGATTAAATGGGTCCCTTTCCTGATCGAGCTTACAATTTAATGGGGTTTTGGGAAATGAGATACCAAATAGAAACCCGCACAGTAGTTTAGTGGTAATGGGGGAAAGTGTCAAGGAAAGTGTTCTGAGTGGGTAGAAAAGGGGACCTTAACTGAATCTAGAAAGTCAGGGACGTTCCTCCTGAGACCTGAAGACTCGTAGGCATTAACTAGAAAGTTAGGGAGCTGGGAAGAGGGTGTTGTTGGTTAGGGGAACCCCTTGTCCTTAGAGCCGTAGGCAAGGAGGAATAATCAAGAAATTCAAAGGAGGTGTGCACAAACGGAGGTTAGCGAGCCGGAGGGAGAGGCAGCAACGGGGTGGAGCAGAGGCCTTACGGTTACAGAGATGTATCTGCACTGTATCCAGGGAGCAATGGGAAGGCATTGAGGGGTTGTACAGGTAGAGGTGAGGAGTGAGGTTACATGCTCAGGTTAGTATTTGAAAATGGCGACTGACTGTTTGTGGAGAAAGCACTGTAGGGTTCAGGATAGAAATCAGTAGACTAAGCAAGCTATTGTGTAGACCAAGCATGTCAAACTCAAAGGCTACCATGGGCCAGATAAACAAGGTTTAAGTTTATGTGGGCTGCAAAAAAAACCCCCAAAAGCTTCAGTTTTCATAGAAACGTAGGTTTACTTCAATAGAGGCATGCTGAATACAAAGGGCTGAAATAAATGAGTAATCGTTAACATAAGAAAATAGAGCATTTTAATAAAAATTAATATTTCTTCTTGAACATTAACTTACCAGACACAGAATAACTGTACAAATTAATAAACATAACACAAATAAACCTATTTTTCTTGTTCTCTGAAAGCTGAAATATTATTCCGTGTTGCGCACACCAAACAAGTCAGTCCAAGACTAATGACGTGGCCATCGGCGGCTAAAATATTCGCTGCTAGTGTTAGTGGAGAGAAATGGTACACCTGTGTGTAAAGCACGTAAGGGAAATGAATGCAACACGATTATAGTAATTAGTCATTAGTGAACATTGTAGTTAGTTATTAATAATCATATAACAGGATATCGTAAAAATTAAGTTACAAAGTTTTTATTAAAACGTTTCTTACCTTCTGTTACATTGGCTGGGCTGCAAAAATATTCATTGTGGGCCACGAGTGTGACATGCCTTGTGTAGATTCATTAGACTGTTAGTTCGGGTGAGAGATGATGGTGATCTGGACTGGCTGTTAGGATCAAACATGGAGAGAATTGACTGGTTTGAAGAATTTTATAGCTTGAGTTGGTAGGACATAAGAAGAGATGGAGTAGATAGAACTGGAGTATGAAAGAAACAGATGTTAGGGATGGCTCCTGGACTATGTGGATTGAATTGGATATGGATAAAAGTCATTTTTATTGAGAAGAGCAGGTTTGGATCTATTATGTGAAAAGCAAAGCTGACAGCCGAGGGAGAACAGCTCTTCATGTCTTTGGGAAGCTCGTTTTGCCTATAGTTGCTGCAGATCTATTTTTCCCCTTCAGTGATCAAAACAAATAACAAGGATGAGAATTTACTGTCCATTGTTTGTTCCTGTCAGGCTGAAAAAGCTATGTGACATGAGGTGACCAAATTTTGTTCTGTTTCTTTGTAGCTAAGCTGGGAAGAGCTGAACAAAAACTTCTTTGGTCCTTTTATTTATTAATGCCCAACATCAAAATAGTGCCTTTCTCATACCACCTGGGTTCATAAAATAAACAGTTATGTTAGTAACTATTTTTATTTTTATTTTTGTAAAAGAAATAAATGTTCAGTTCTTTTCTAAGGCTATTTATATTCTGTTTCATAAAGTTGACTGTGGTGACGCAGAACCTAGGTTTAGGGAAATAAAAGACAGGCTAAAGACAGGATAGGCTAAATGGGGAAGACTTTTTTTCTCTAAAGAGTTGTATGAATTTATTTTAGAGGGAAATTTTTCTTTTTAAGAGTGCTCAAGACAAGTTTGTTTTTAGAAGGGAACCTAGTGGAAAGTTTTTTTTGTTTTTTTTACCAGGAACTCACTGACTCAAACAGGAAATATATTTGTTTTTAAACTTAGATTTTATTTTGTAATGCCAGATGGCATTACTGTGTTACATTTATTAACAGACTCTAACTGCCGGTATCCTTATATCATGTGGTGTGAATAGGCGCCTTTACTCTGTACACTTTATTTGGCTGTAGAGTTAACAATGAGAACAAATTTTTGTGTGATGTAAAATATGGCCTACGTTAGGAGGGTGAACAATGTCCACATCTACATCTGTCTTCCCACATCTCAGCGTGTTTTCGTTTACCTGTTCCACCTTTTATTATTGCAGATGTTTATTTTCAAATTGGAGTAGCATGAAATGGCGGGAAAAACTTAATCATGTGTAGTCCAGCTCTCAAAGGAGTTATCAGCCTCCGTCATCAGTTTAATATTCCCTCAGCCATCCAAGGTCCATCCTTAGAACAGAACCTTTGAGCTCACCCTAAAGAGCAAATAAAGATCTATGAATAAAGGTTACCTTTTCATTTATTGTAAGAAATGCTTAGGGAAAGGATACATCACTTTCTGAATACTCTTAGCAGCAGGGATAGGGACTCTGTGAGTGAGATGTGATTATTTAGCAGCAAAAACAGCTGCAGTATTTGATGCTTCTTCCTTAGTACCAATCTAGTCCTGTCTGTGGGTTACATGCCTTTCCACAAAAATGATGGTGCAAATTTGCCTAGACCTGGTAACCTACCGTCGCTCGTTCTGTTGAAGAAGTCACAGCTCAGGAGTTACCTTTTTATACGCTTTGCATTTTGGCTCCTAAGAAAACGTTGGTCGTCCAGGAACATAATTCTAACTGTGCAAACTCCCACGTTTTGTTCCAGGTCGGTCTTCTCTCTTTCCCTTCGAAGACGCCTTCCTGGACGACAGTCATGGCGACCAGTCCTTGTCCTCTGGCCTCAGCTCCCCCACTCGCTGTCAAAACGGGGAGCGAGTGGAGCGCTACTCCAGGAAGGTGTTTGTGGGAGGCCTTCCCCCTGACATCGACGAAGGTACTGTGCGTTCCCGGATGACTTTATAAAGGCCAGGCTGGTTCTTTGTGTGATGGAGCCGGCCTCTGCTCTCCGAGGCAGCTTTAGGCCGTTCATCTCTCAGTGAGCAGGGGGTGGGAATGTTCAGTGGATGGAGCAGCAGTAGATTGTGTACTTCAGGTCTACTGTGTAGATGCGTTTTTTACACAGCAGTCTCCCAACCGTGTCCCATTTCCTACTTACTACATTAGAGCTCACTTTTGTGAAACTCTTCCTACAAGCTCACTATTGCGCGAGGTGCTTCACATTGCGGCATCTCGTTTAATCTCCATAAGGCATAGCCTACCAACTCCATTTTATAAATGAGGAAGCTGCGGATCAGAGAGAAACAATTTCTCCAGGGTTATGTAGCTGTGGAACTCAGCACTACAGCTTTTGCTCATGTCCATTACACCATACCATCTCATATCCTATATAATAAAACCCTATTATGCAAATCCACCAAGTGGTGAAATGACCGGTTGCTATGACGTGCACTGACCACCAGGGGGTAGTCAACGCAGGCACTGCCCCCTGGCACTGCTCCACGAGGGGAGCGCCACTCAGCCAGAAGCCAGGTTCATGGCTGGCGGGCGCGGCAGCGGTGGTAGGAGCATTTCCCCTCCCCGCTGCAGGCGGGCAGCAAGGAGTGAGGGGTCCCAGACTGCAAGAGGGACGTCTGACTGCCACTTAGGCCTGATCCCCATGTCAGACATCCCTCGAGGGGCCCCAGACTGCAAGAGGGCACCGGCCAGGCTGAGGGGACTACCCTCCCCCAAGAATGCACAAATTTCATGCACCAGGCCTCTAGTTTTAATATAGATGCCTATTAATGAGAGCCTCTCTCTTGTCCGTAAGAACGAAGACTAATTAGAAACTTTCTTAATGATATTTTTGAGATCCTCCCAATCCAAAAGTAAGTTTTTCTCCTATGCCTAAAGCCAGTTAGCACACAGTAGGTTGTCAATAAATATTCGTTGAATGGATAAATGAAACAAAATTATAACAGTTAAGGGGTAAAAACAACTCTAGTTCTAGGCCTTGGACCTGCTATAAAATGTTTAAAAAACTGTTTTGCCAGCATTACTCTAGCTCTGACATTTTTCTAATTTATCATGCATTTTGTGTGTGTGTTGAGAGAAGAATAGTCTCTAAAAATAGTTTTATTTTAGACTTGCTGTCTTAAAGTTGTACACAAGTGGAGACTCATTTTCCTCCGAACTGTTCTTGTGCTGATGTTAATTTCATTTATCAAATGGATTTTTCTTTAAGACAAAGTTTTGATCATGACTAAGAGAGTGGCAACTTAAACCTGGATAGGAGCTAAGTTATAATCTCCTGCTTTGAGTCAAAAGTCAGAAGGAAAAGAAAAATTTATTGAACTCCCAACTTTTGAATTTTTTTCTTTATAGGCTGTGTAGTAGGTGTGTATGAAAGAAACCATTGGCTTTTAAGTTTTCTTAACCCACCAAATAGAATTATCTATGTATTTCCCCTACTCCTCACCAAAAGAATCATAACTATTTATAAAATAATTGTACAGATTAATACTCTTTAGATTAATAATAATTATTTAGGGTTAATAATCTAAGAGATTATTTTACACAAGTAAAAATATTTTAAATATTCTATGTACTTTTGCCTTCTTTCTTCTTCTCTCTCTCTTTATTGATTAAGGTATTACATATGCGTTCTTATCCCTCCACTGTCCCCCCCACCTCCCCACTCATGCCCTCTATCCCGGCTGTCTGTGTCCATTGGTTAGACTTATACGCATGCCTACAAGTCTTTTGGTTGATCTCTCCCCCTTACCCTCACCCTCCCCTCCCTTCCCTCTGAATTTTGATGGTCTGATTGATGCTTCTCCATCTCTGGATCTGTTTTTGTTCATCAGTCTTTGTTGTTCATTATATTCCACAAAAGAGTGAGATCATGTGATATTTATCTTCCTCTGACTGTGCCTTTTTTCTAAATGCAGGAAACATTCCTATTTTTAGAATCTCCATTTTATTTGACAGGGAGGTCACCTTCGGTAATGTCAGATTTCCCCCCTCCCAAATCTTTACATCAAGTGAAGTGGCAGCGAAGGGAACTGAATTACAGTTACAATCACATCCCGCGTGGGTGAGAGGGAATGACCAAAAGTATCCCCCCAAACGATTGGCATTTCGCTCCGTAGGTTTGCCTTCCGTACCGATGCTTTACAGAACGGCTCTCCGAACGTTTCTTATATAATATGAAAAGGCATGTTTTATGCTGTTCCGTTTGCGGTGTTCGTTTCTCTTTTGCTAAGATCCCCTCTCTGTTTTGCAGATGAGATCACCGCCAGCTTCCGCAGGTTTGGACCTCTCGTGGTGGACTGGCCTCACAAAGCCGAAAGCAAGTCATACTTTCCTCCGAAAGGTAATGAACGCCCGGGACAGGTCCCCGCCGCCGGCCTGCTGGAGAGCCAGCTCGATGGTTCAGGAAAAGGCAGCCTTTTAACTCTTGAAATAGCTGTTGACATCCCCGCCCCAGATTGAGAGAACATTTAACATTGGTCCTCTGCTCGTGTCTCACTGTTTCTCCCTGGAAGACGGTTCCCAGGAGCACACTGATTGTATCCGGGCATCTACTCTATTGACAGTGAGGCCCTGTGAGTCTGTTGTGAATGAACCTTGTGCTAACTGTTTGAGAAAGAGGATCCAGGGTTTTGAGACATGGCCGTGATGGGAAAGGAAAAGATTGCTTACAATCAAATTTTATTTGTATCCCCATAGCCCTGTGGTTGTATAGACCTTAGAAAGCCCAATCTTGGAAAGCCTAGTGACTGAAGAATGACATTATATGAAATTACCTTTATTCGTGTCTCTTAAGCAACTTAATCTGTTGATGGGTGGAGAGCGAGCTAGGGAAGGTCTCTTCACATAACCTTGCTTCTCTTATTTTTGGTAGGCTTTTCCTTTATTATTTACGAGATCATGAGAATATATTACTTTGTTCACAGTTTGCCATTTTTGTCGGATCTAGGGTTATCTTCTGGTGATATTAACTCTGGGAACGCATCTAGATGTACACAGAGTGTTTGGGTTAAAGAGGAAGTGTTCTCTCATGTTATGTTCTGTAGATATGTTCTAAGGCTGCCTTTGATCTCTAAGGAATTGTTTTTGGGTGTGAGTTGTTGTGTAAAACATCACCCACCACTAGAAGATGGGGGTCAAAATGCTTGTCCTTCCTGTGCCTTTTCTAGGAATCAAAAGATAGCTTAACTGAGGAAAGGCAAGTGGCTTCCTTTCCTGTTTGGTTTCTTTGTCGCCGGTATTTCTCCCCACTCCCTTTACAGCCTATGAAAGTGTTATGCACTAAACAGGGATGTTTGTTTGCTTTTAACATAATTCTGTATGTTAAAAGAATTTTTTAAAGTTAAAAATTCTGAGTTTTATATTAATCAGAAAGATAAAAATCATGTGGATTATTTCAGCAAAGGAATGTGTTCATGTGGCGCATGTGTGACACTTTCTGAACACACGCATTTAAGACATATGTTTAAAAGTCCTCACCTGAAATCTATATAATTTTATTAACCAACTGGAGTCCCAGTGCACGAAATTCGTGCATGGAGGTGTGTGTCCCTCAGCCCAGCCTGCACCCTTTCCAATCTGGGACCCCTGGAGGGCAGTCGGACACCCTTCTCACAATATAAGACTACTGGCTCCCAACTGCTCACCTGCCCACTTTTTTGATTGCCCCTAACTGCTTCGGCTTGCTAGCCTGATCACCCCCTAACCACTCCCCTGCCAGCCTGATTGAGGCCTAACTGCTCTGCTGCCAGCCTTTTTGCCCCTAACTACCCTCCCATGCAGGCCTGGTCACCCCTAACTGCCCTCCCCTGTAGGCCTGGTCGCCTCCAACTGCCTTTCCCTGCAGGCCTGGTTGCCCCCAACTTCCCTCCTCTGCTGGCCTGATCACCCCTAACTGCCCTCCCCTGCAAGCTTGATCACCTCCAACTACCCTCCCTTGCAGGTCTGGTCCCTCCCAACTGCCCTCCCCTGTTGGCCTGATAGCCCACAACTGCCCTCCCTTGCAGACCTGGTCCCTCCTAATGCCCTCCCCTACTGGCCATCTTGTAGTGGCCATCTTGTGTCCACATGGGGGCAGCCATCTTGTATGTTGGAGTGATGGTCAATTTGCATATTATATTCTTTTATTATATAGAATTAGATAGGATAGAGGCCTGGTGCATGGGTGGGGGCCAGCTGGTTTGTTCTGAAGGATGTCCCAGATCAGGGTGGGGATTCCCTTAAGGTATAGGGCAGCTTGAGTAGGAGCCTGTGGTGCTTGTAGGCTGGCCATGGCCCTTGGCAACCCACGCAGAGGCCCTGGTATCTGGAATTTATTTATCTTCTATAATTGAAACTTTGTAGCCTTAAGCAGAGACCAAGGCAGGCCAGGGCAAGGCAGAAAGCTTGGCTTCCTCCATTGCCAGAGAAACCCAAGCCTCCTGCTCTCTCTGTGGCCGCAGACATCTTGGTTGAGTAAATTTGCATACTCACTCCTGATTGGATGGTGGGTGTGTCTTGGTGTAGCAGAGGTATGGTCAATTTGCATATTATTCTTTTATTAGATAGGATATCACCCCAATAAATTCATTAAAACACACACACACACAACACAGTCAAGGCAGCACCAGCTCCTGTCCATGTTGGCCCCAGGACAGCTTACCCAGGCTTTGACAGCAGGAAAGGTTCTGGAAAAGTTGTTCTAAAAAAAATTTACTTTGGTGTAAAAAAAAAAAAAAAAAAGTGTGTTAATCATTGAATCAGAATAGTGTTGTTTCAGTGAATGAATGAGTTTACCATACTCTACCATATATAATATACTCTGTAAGTCCCGGGTATAAAAAGATATTTCTCAGAGTACTAGTTGCACATGTGAATCATGACAGTGTTATTTCAGTGAAATAACGTATTCATATTATGGTTATTATAACATACTGTGTAAAATGAGAGGTATAAAAGATACGTCTGTCCTAAGGCTTTTGGACTGAAAGTTCCCAGGTTTGATTCCAGTCAAGGGCATGTACCTTGGTTGCGGGCACATCCCCAGTAAAAGGTGTGCAGGAGGCATCTGATCAATGTTTCTCTCTCATCGATGTTTCTAACTCTATCCCTCTCCCTCTCTGTAAAAATCAATAAAATATATATTTTTTAAAAAAATAAAACATACGTCTAAGAGTGCCAGTTGGGAAAAGAATCATGCTGAAGTTATAAAAATAATTCTGGGATAAAAAGTGTCAGATGATCATTATAAAAATGAAAATAAATATATATGATCATGTCCAAAGAAAATTATTCCATATCTACTTCTATCAGAAATGATCGCTGTATACATTTTATTAAATATCATTCTGATACCTCTGTGAATATATACATTTACATGAAATTTAAAATTTTATGTAAACAGGATCACATTATGCATGCTCTTTTAATAACCTACTTTCTCCCCCAGCAATGTCAGCACCTTTCTATAAGAAACCTACATTATTGTTAATGACCTTATTTTATTTAATTAGTCCTACTGATGATGGGCATTTAAGTTACTTCCAGTTGTTTCCCCTCATGGAAGATGCTTCAGTGAATATCCTATGCCTTCGTCTTTTTGTCCTTTTCATATAAATATTACCTCTTAGGGTGAACTTTCAGAAGTGAGGTGTATGTTTATACATATTGCCAAGCTGCCCCTAAGAAAGGTCATGCACATTCATATTCCCACTAATAGTACCCAGTTTACAAAACGCAGGTTTAATGAGGGTCTGGGAATATGGCCTCTTTCTTTCTTTCTTTCTTTCTTTCTTTCTTTCTTTCTTTCTTTCTTTCTTTCTTTCTTTTTTTTAATATACTTTATTGATTTTTTACAGAGAGGAAGGGAGAGAGATAGAGAGCTAGAAACGTCGATGAGAGAGAAACATCGACCAGCTGCCTCCTGCACACCCCCTACCGGGCATGTGCCCGCAACCAAAGTACACGCCCCTGACCGGAATCGGACCTGGGACCTTTCAGTCCACAGACCGACGCTCTACCACTGAGCCATATTTTTTGGTATTTTTTCTTTTTTGGGGCATTTGAATTTCTTTTACCTTTTTACATTGCCATCTGATTTCTATCTGGAATTTATAATGGAGTTAGGCACAAGAAAGGATCTAGCTTCATTTTTCCAATTATCATGCCACTTGTTCCAACAGTAACTTATTGACTTCCATTTTTTCTCATTGATATAAGTCATTAGAATTTTAAAAAAATAAATCTTTATTGTTCATATTATTACAAAAGTTCCTCATTCCCCCCCCCCCTCCACCAGGTTCCCACCCCACCCTCTGCCCTTTCCCCGCCCCCACATTGTCCTCATCCATCGGAGCACATTTTATGTTCAGTCTCTCCCTGCACCCCCCACTCCTCTTTTCCACTCCGCTTCCATACATCTGATTCTATTATATTCAACAGTTAATGTTGAAAGTATATGCCTTATAAAAACCAGAATCATTCATTCATCTATCAGGTTTACCTATACCGAGCTGGAGTACAGTTTGTAAAACCATGATCTTTTCAGTGAACTCAGAAGGCTTAAATTCTACATAGAGAAACAGTGGCCAGTTATAGCATCTGTCCCCTTACGTGTCGTTGGGTCAAGCAGAGTTGGAGGGGACGGAGACGAGGGCCCTTGAGGCATTTGACCCACCAATGGAGGATATGTTGAGCTCTGTGACACTTTGTCAGTGGCTATAAGCAGGCAGTTGCTTGGTGTTCTCCAGAACACCACTGAGAACATGGGAGGCGTAAGAAGGCACGGAAGTCAGATTGTGTGTCTTTATGATTCTTCTCAGACTGCATGAACTTGTAGTCCTATGGGGAAGGTAAGAAAATAATCAGATGGTCACAAAATAAACAGAATTACCAACAGTGATCATTCTCTAAAGGAAAAATAGAGTGTGCAGCAACTTTAAAAGGGGGTATCAATTTAGAATCGGGATATGGAGAGAGGTTCTCTGAGAAAATAGTAGTGAAGCAGACCCGAAAATTGAGGTGTTAGCTAGAAAATGCAAGGAAGCAAGTTCCAAACTGAGAAGTACTGAGTATGAAAAGAGCTGTGGGACTTTGAAGAAATGAAGGAAGTGTGGTTGGAATGTTATGAGGAGAAGAAAATGATGCAGAAGAAAGAGCCTTGAAGACGTAGGACTTTGTCCTTCTTCATTGAATTGATCTAGTCCCCCATAGAGAGTTGACATCAAGGCATTTGTGGGGTGTTTGGCTTTGGGGTGGAGGGAGAGTGGAGTTGGGTCAAGTAGAAATATCAGTTTAAAATACTTTCAAATCTTTCCAATAGCTATTGGTAAAATGGAAGCAGAGTCTTGCTCTGTGTTGTCTGCA